ATTTTGACATAACTTTGAATTTCGACATAACTTTGAATTTCGACATAACTTTAAATTTCGACATAACTTTGAATTTCAGCATTTTGACAATTAAATTTTATTTGTCGAAATAGTATTTAATAATTTCAGCTTGACAGGTTGCCGAAATTTCTGAATTTCGGCAAGCATCCTTAGCAGCAACTGACAGTCGCGTTGAACGAACAGAATGCCAGAGCCGTGGAAAAGATAATTATTCCAATGAAGAAATTCCGTGGAGATGATCAAGACCCAGTTGCATGATTCAAAGACTTCGAGGTAGTCACAGAAGCGAACGGAATCATCCCCGCAAGAAGGATTAGAATTGTGCGAGGATATTTGGAAGGACCAGCTGCTATCTGGTTTGACGAACGAGCAGCGAACAATACCACTGCGTTAACCGACTGGACAAACAATTATCATGACGAACATGATTTCACACATCACTTCGCGCTGAAGTTTCAGACTCATCAAAAGCTAGATAAATGGCGGGATGAGTTGGAAGACCTACAACAAACAGGAATGGTAGATGAATATACCGACAAATTCTACGAACTGCTACAGAAAGCAGACCCGGAAAATCATATACACAACGAAAGTCATGAACTTACCGTCGTGGACTAAAACCAGAATTGCGAAAGTGGGTGAAAATAAATTCTGACAGTACATTGTTAAATATCATCGAAGTAGCCAAGAAAGCCGAAGAGACCGAGTTCGAACCAGTGACAAGGCCATATCATCAATCAAACAGCTCCTCCAATCTCCAGTTTGATGAATTGACGACAGCTCTCCGTGTACTAACCCGTAGGTTAGAACATTTAGAAACACCGCAGAATCACCAGACTACGAGCCGGAATGATTATCCAACAAGGAATTGGCAAAATAATAGAAGACCACTCACCTGTTATAACTGTGAAGAGGAGGGACACATTAGCACCAGATGTTCCAAGTCATATTCACTGGCTAATTACCAGAATAATCACGGACATAATTGGCGAGATCGTAATAATGTGAATACTGGAAATCTGCATCAGCAAAATAATATCAGACCAAATGCATCAAATGGATCAGCGAACAATGGACAAATAAACAACAATACCAATACGGCGTTGTTAATGCAGATTAAACAACTCACTGATGCATTACAAAACGGAACAACCAGCAACAATTCTCTCTTAGCTACTCATGAATATCTGGCAGGTGAAAGAAAGGCTAAGACCACCACTCGATATAATCCACTCGGTAACCGACCAATGACCTGTAGTCAAAAAGAAATCGGGGAAGAAGAAATTAATCTAGAAGGAGATAATAATAATATTAATGATAATGAAATGGATGAAGCCGGACCATCCATCATAACCAATGACAATAATGACGACAAGAAGAAGATCCGAAAAAAAAAGGGAAAGCAATACTACCTGTGTTAGCATCGAAGGCTACACCGTATGATATCGCTGACGACCTCGCAATGATGAAAGCCAACATAATGGTTGCCCAGTTAATTGAAACTTCCCCCGCTCAACAGGTAAAAATGTCGAAAGCTATGAGACGACCAATTCAAAAGAAAATTACTAAACGAACAACCGGAATGATTCTCCAAAAAATCAAGACCACTTCCGCTTGGTGTGAGGTCAAAGTGGGAAAAACCATGATCGATCTGATCATTGATACCGGTGCGTCAGGATGTGTGGCGACGCAACATTTCCTCCAGAACCAAGGAATTAAAATCCAAAGAAAATTCAATGTCTCAATGACCGATATCAACGGTCATTCAAAGCAACCACTTGGAGCGATCGATGACTTGCCAGTAGTAATTGACGGGATCATAATCCCAATCAAAGTCGATGTTACCGAAGCCCGAACATACGCTGTAGTCGTAGGCATGGACTTCTTAAACAAAATCAACGCAAAGATAGATATAAAGAAGGGTCTACTTACCTTTGACTGGGATGGACGTAAGGGAAATGCCTCCATAAAATATATTCATGGCCAACACACCAACTTCACCAATGAAGATAACATGGAAGAATCTGAGGAAGAAAGTAATAGTGAAGACTCAGACGATGAAGAATCTGAATTTGAAGAACAGGATCTGGATAAGAAATCTTACCTAATGTTCTGTCCAGAAGATGATTGGACTACCATCCAGCCTCAGAAAAAGAAAGTTCAATTTAAGGATGATGATAATATTGAAATTAAACTAGAAGAAAATTGGACACCAGTTAATACTGTTAGGCAGGAATTGAAATACGTCGATTTGGAAGGTGTACCTTCTAGGATTATTCGAAGTATTAAATTCATTAGAGATGCTCAGGCTTACCAAGAAGGAATGAAAATTAGGTGGAGAAAATTCACTTGGGATGACTGCCAACGACTGATCGAAAAATTTTGACAAGAATGTACGTAAACACAACGTTGGGCGTTCGACTGGCAAGGACCAAATAAGATGTGCTGGTGTATGAAGCGCCTGTATACAAACTATCAGCAGTGCCAACAATGTTACGATGATCTATGGGATTGGATTGCCGTCCAGCAACATCGACCGTACTGAGCTAAACTAAAAACTAAAACAAATTGGGCCGCTGAAGTTGAACGGGAGCTTTTCCAGGCACAACGGACTGAACGAATCTTTTCAACACTTGTTGAAGCACGGCAGAATATTTACTCTGAGGAACAAGTAAAACAATGTAATGAATGTAAACACTATCTGGATGAATATCATAGCCAGGTTTATTTTACTCATTCAAGTGAAAAAGCTTTGGCATGCGGAAATTGTCATACAAAAAAACAGCTAAACCTACCTGCTTGCGCTATTTGTGGAAATCGTGATGAGACTCGACACATGTACATTACTGGGAGTTATGAGAAACGATATTTTTGTACCTATGAACACCAATGCGTCTATTGGTTTAACCAGGGTGGGTGGCGGAAGAATGCTGGTACAATCTGAAAGTTACGAGAACGACAATCGCTCCTTGAAGTATACGAGGAATGCAATGAAATCGGGAAGGTGATCCTATCTCGATATATCAATTAAGATGATATTGAAAATGAACGAGGTTATATCCAATATGACGGATCAGAGGAAGCGTCTGCTACGGAAATTTTTTAATCAATCTACCAACAATTAATGCCCGAAAGAAGAAGGCAATTGGCACGACTGGCCCATATCAATGTAAGGCTTTGCGAGGAATGTTTAATACCTTGCGATGACAACCAATGTTCTGATTGTGTACAGCCAGACCTAGGAGAGAATGTCCGAAGATGTGATAAAGAAAAGGGAAAAGAAATTAATAAAGTTGACACTGAAACCGAAAATAAAATAAAAAAACAATGGAATACATTGGAAAGAATCGAAGAAGAATCCTTTAATCAATCCTCCGAAGAGGTGAATAATATTCAGAGTAGTGAACAACAACAACTACCAACTCTCAAAATTCCGGAAATCCAAGAGACATTTTCAGAACTATTCGAATATTTCCAGATCATACGAAAGAAATTACAACGTACTGAAATCGACTTTAATGAGGAGAGTGTCTACAGCCCCTGTGAAGAACTATCGGAAGATGATTCAACGGATCAATTAACAGAAATAAAAGAAATGAATTATGCGATCAAAATATATACTGACAAAGAAAAGGGAATTATACCAAATTGAGCTCATTTCACTGATGCCAGATTCGACTTATACTACTCTGAACAAATGAACCTAACAATCGAACCCCATCAGACCATCATGATAGATCTTCATGTCGCCATGGAAATACCAGAAGGAACAATGTGTCAAATAATGTCTCGGTTTTCTTTAGCCAAGAAGGGAATCGATGTAAAAGGTGAAACCATTGACGCCGGATACACGGGAAATATTGGTGTCATCCTATCCAACTCGTCACAACAATTGTACACCATTAAACCAAACGATCGAATCGCACAAGCGGTGTTTATTCAATTAGCTCTGATCGAATCATTGCAACCAGTTAACAGTCGAATGGAACTTGAAGAAAGTAGCCACGGAACAGGAGGATTCAGATCAACTGACCAAATGACGGAAGCGTACTTCCTAAACATCAATGATGAACCATTACCTGTTAAACCCAGAGCCCTTACACCACGACAATAAGAACAGTTAAATACCTTACTTAATGACTTTCATGACATCTTTATCACCGACTTGGATCAATTAGGGAGATCGAATGTAGTTCAACACAAAATTCATACCGAGAATGCTATTC